CTGAGAATATGATGTCAAGTTTATTTATTTATTTATTTATTTATTTATTTTAAAGATTTCATTAATTTATTCGAAAGTCAGAGTTACACAGAGAGAAGAGAGTCAGAGAGAAAGAGAGGTCTTCCATCTGCTGATTCACTCCCCAGTTGGCAGCAACAGCTGGAGCTGCGCCAATCCGGAGCCAGGAGCTTCTTCTGGGTTTCCCATGTGGGTGCAGGGGCCCAGGACTTAGGCCATCTTCTACTACTTTCCCAAGTCATAGCAGAGAGCTGGATCGGAAGTGGAGCAGCAGGGACTAGAACCGGTGCCCATATGGGATGCCGGAACTTCAGGCCAGGGCATTAACCCGCTGCGCCACAGCACCGGCCCCATGATGATAAGATTAAAGAAAGAGGGAGAGCGCTCTTCCCCAGATGGCCACAACATTCAGGACTAGGCCATCCAAAACAAGAAGCCTGGAACTCTCTTAGGGTCTCCCATATGGGCAGCAAGAGCCTAAACACTTGGTCCATCTTCCACTGCTTTCCCTGGGCACATTAGCAGGGAGTCAGATTGGAAGTGGAACAACTGGGACTCTACTGAGCACTCATATGGGGTGCCAGTGTCTCAGGCCCCAGCTTAGCCACTGAACCTCAACACCAGCTCCAAGTTGCTGTCTTTTAATGTTAAGTGGGATGGTTCATTTTCTGTTTGTGCTAATGTTACCAACTAAACATAGTAATTTATTTATTATTTTTGAGTTGGATTATTTTTTCACATTAATATAGAACTTTTGTATGACTCAAAAACACAAAAAGAGTGATGTACTTAGCAAATTCTTCAGTGTCTCTTGCCTGCACTTTTTCTCTCATTTTCTCTAAAATGTAATCTTTTAAAAAATTTATTTTTACCATTTTTTTGAAAAGCAGACAAATAGAACAGATAGCTCTCCCATTTGCTGGTTCACTCACCAAGTACAGCTTCTCTTATCTGGGAACTATCCAAGTAACCCATAAAGGTGGCAGGAGTCCAATTAGTGAGCCATCGCCTGCTGCCTCCCAGGGTCTTGACCAGCAGGAAGTACAATAAGGAACTGGAACCAAAAATTGAACCTAGTACTACTCTGATGTAGGACACTAATATCTTAACAAGGCTAAAGGCATTTATCTAACCATTTTTTAGAATCATAGTTTATCATATTTTTTAAGAGATGCACATATATTTCCTTTTAAATATGTGTAAATATTGTCTTTCTTGAAAGCATATCATAAAATATTTTTCAATTAGCATATCTGGCAATATTTAATAATATATGGAAATATTTTTCTTTTTATATTTGAATTATCATTCATTTGAGAATGTTGCACCAATTATTCATCCAGATGCTATTGATGTATATTAGTGTTCTTCAAAGGTTCATGGAAAAATGTTAGTAAAAGGTAACTTGAACTTGGTGATGTTTTTTGAAATTCATGCATAGTATCTTCATGATATGAATTTTCCATAAACGTTTTGAAAATACCTTATATTTCAGTGATTAGTTCTTTTTAATCATCCTGATGTAAAGATATCCTAGAGATGAAATTTCGGTGAACAAATCAGCATTGATATCTTAATGGATAATGATGATTTCTCCCTCATAGGCTTTGAAGCACTCTTTGCTAACAGTGCCCCGACCAAATGTGCCTGTGTTCTTGCAGTCACAACAGTAGGGAGTGGGGGCCATCTCTATTGCTAATCCATCAAGTGGCAAAAGAAATCTTAGTGTAGCTTTAATTTGTATTTTTATTCTTATGTGGAGAGTTGAACTCCTTTGTATGTGATCAACAGTTATTGTCTGGGCTGGCATTTTGGCATAGCAGACAAAGCCTCCTGCTATTCTGCCATCCTATAAGGAGGCTGGATCTCATTCCTGCTGCTCCAGTTCCAATCCAGCTCCCTGTTAATGGCCTGTGAAAAGCAGTGGAAGATGATCCAAGTGCTTGGCCCCTGCCAACGATGTTGGTGATCCAGATGAAGCGCTTGGCTTCTGGATTCAGTCTGACCTAGCACTGGCCCAGCAGCCATCTGGGGCGGTAACCAATAGATGGAAAATACTACCCCACTCCCGTCTCTGTAGCACTTTCAAAATAAATAAGTAAATATTTGAAATAAGGGTAAGATTGATTTGTTTTTCTCTTTCTTGAACTATGTTCATTCTGTAGCCCAATGTTGTAAATGTATCCCTTGATTTTTTATACAACTTTTATAAATCTACACATGTTAGTACATGCACATTTTGCCTCTAATATAAATTGTGAATATTGTCCCAGTTTGTCAATTGTGGTATCATTTGTTTGTTATGTCTACCATGGGATTTTGCACTGTAATTGTCTCTTGTTTCCACTATTTGCTGCTCATCTTTCATTCATAATTAGGAAAGGTTAGCTGACTTTCTTGTTGTTACAATAACATTTACCCATTACTTCATCTATCAGTAATGACTAATGTTTTTTTAAAGATTTTTTTTCGTTTTATTATTTAATAAATGTGAATTTACAAAGTGCAACTTTTGTATTGTTGTGGCTCCCCCCCCCCCCAACCTCCCTCCCTCCCTCGGCCCTCCCCTCTCCCACTCCCTCTCCCAACCCGCCCTTCATCGAGTTTCATTTTCAATTACCTTCATATACAGAAGATCAACTTAGTATACACTAAGCAAGGATTTCAACAGGCTGCCCTCACACAACCGCACAAGGTATAGGGTATTGTTTGACTAGTAGTGTTGTTTTTAAGTTTCAGAGTAAACCACATTAAGGACAGAGATCCTACGTGGGGAGCCTGTACCCAGTGACTCCCATTGTAGATTTAACAATTGGCACTCTAATTTATGGCATCAGCAATCACCCGAGGCTCTTGCTATGAGCTGTCTAGGCTATGGAAGCCCCTTGAGTTCACCAAGTCTGAACTTGTGTGACTAATGTTTTTTTAAAGGTTTATTTTATTTATTTGAAAGGCAGAGTTACAGAGACTCATAGGCAGAAAGAGACAGAGGTCTTCCATCTGCTGATTCACTCCCCAAGGCTGGAGGTGATCTGATCCAAAGCCAGGAGCCAGGGGGTTCTTCTGGGTCTCCCACGCAGGTGCAGGGGCCCAACCACTTAGGCCATCTTATTCTGGATTCCCAGGCCACAACAGAGAGCTGGATTGGAAGTGGAGCATCTGGAACTTGAACTCGTGTCATTTATGGAACGCCAGCACTGCAGGCGGTGGCTGTACTCATTATGCCACAGTGCCGGCCCCTGTGCCTAATGTTTTATATCAGATTTCAGATCTTGAAAGAATGAAATCAACTGTCATTATCAGTATGACCCTACTGTTAGGGGATATGACTTCTTTATTGTATATTAAATTTCATCTGTAATTTTGAATATTTCTGCATTTTCAGATCTATTTTGATGGTGTATTTTTGTTTGTTAACAATGTGCCCATGAGAATGTATTTTCTCATCTTAGAGTTGAGCTTAATGAATAGTAGGGTTGAGCTCACTTTGGGACATCCCTGACTTCTGGCAACCTAGATTTTTTTATAGAAAGCTTTTATTTAATAAATATAAATTTCATAGCTGCAACTTTCAGATTTCAGCAGTTCTTCACCCCCAATACCAGCCTTCCCACCCCCAAACTATCCCACCTCCTACTCCCTCTCCCATCCCATTCGTCATTAATATTCATTATTAATTATCTTTATATACAGAAGATGAACTCTATACTAAGTAAATATTTCAACAGTTTGCATCCACATGGCACACAAAGTATAAAGTACTGTTTGAAGACTAGTTTTACCATTAATTCTCATAGTACAGCACATTAAGGACAGAGGTCCTACGTGAGGAGCCAGTGCACAGTAACTCCTGTTGTTGATTTACCAATTAACTCTTATTTATGACGTCAGTGATCACCCAAGGCTCTTGTCATATGTTGTCAATGCTATGGAAGCCTCCTGAGTCCACAAACTCCAACATTGTTTAGATAAGGCCATAATCAAAGTGGAAATGCTCTCCTCCCTTTCGAGAAAGGTACTTCCTTCTTTGATGGCCCCTTCTTTCCACCAGGATCTCATTCACAGAGATCTTTATTCTAGGTCATTTTTTGCCAGAGTATCTTGGCTTTCCATGCCTGAAAGCAGCATAGATCTGCATGCAAGCTCAGTCTCAAATTGAGTTGGCTAAATAATTTAATCTTTCAATCTCCCAAATATTCATCTGTAAAATGAAAATGATTTATGCGTTTATCAATTGTTAATCAAATAAAGTAGTCAGCACAAAGCAGACAGAAAGGATTGGAAGATTTTTTATTCCCTTAGGATTATTGTTTTGCAGGTATACATACTATATAAGTTGATGATGTGACTTCTAAGTTTTTGGTTACTATAGGAAAAAAACTGTTACAGAATACAAAGAAACATGGTAAAAACGAAGTAAGTTTCTGCAGGAGAAATATATTTAAAAAATGGTTTCCCTAGACATTAAGAGTATCAGCAAAACTTTTATTTTAGTTTACCATTGTTGACATAATTAGTTAGGTACTTATCTTAAAAATATATTTGCCCAGATGGAATAAAATATTAATTTCTAGACATGTTGATATTTGGTACAAATTACTAATTGTTAATTACTACAAGATATGTTGAAAGACTGAAGGCTATAATTAAGATTTATGTACCATTAAAATACAATGTTATAATCCCAAATTTTCTTTCCCTCCACTTAATATCTCATTTCATGTGATGAGGTTTCAACTTAATTAAAGAGCTCTCCTAATATATTTGGAAAATCATCTGAACAAATATTTTCCACTCTTATATGTGAGCTATTAATAATATGCCACATTTGTGTCTGCTTTCCATAGACTGCATAATTTTGAAACTTAATTTACTAATGAAATTGTAATTTTGTTGTTCAGTTAATGAAGGGAAGTAGATAAAGCAGATACACTTGTAACTTTTTGTTCTCAATTATGCACTGAAATCTCAATGTCTTTCAGGGACTCCTGAGGATTACCCTCGATTTTTCCACATGCATCCTAGGACTGCAGAACTCAGTCTCCTGGAGCCAGTGAACAGAGACTTTCATCAGAAATTTGATTTAGTTATTAAGGTAAATTAAACTAATCATCTTATTTCCTTGTGTTTGAAAATCACTAATCAAAGAAAGCTGTAGACGCTACAGTAGATTTAAGATAGTAAAATTACTGTGGAAAACAGTTAGCCAATCTTACTTAAAGAATAACAAGTAAAATGCAATTTTAACATACTTTTTCCTCTAAAATAAGTTTATAGTATTACATGGTAAGATACCAAGTATTTTATGCAATAAGTGCCCTGGTCAATGTATATAGTTTTCATGACATAATTTATTGCATTTTCTAGCATTGTTTTTTTGTAAAATTGACTAGATTTTGATCCTAGAAGCATAACTAACAAATATATCTAAAAAGTGTTTAATTATTATTTTTTATTTTAACCATGTATTTTTTAATCCTATTGCTTTTAAAAAAAGATCTTGCTTATCCAGAGATTGTTTTTAAAAATATATATTCCTTTTTCTTTGTGCTGGAATATCATTCCAGACCAAGAAAGTTTTTGAATTTCAGGTAATATATTTAGCATTACAGTGTTTGTCTAATGATATTGAATAGATTGTAATGAAACCAGGCAAGAGACACCATGAAAATCCAAATGATCTTCCAACTAATTCTTATGGACTTTATTAACATGGTCAGATTTAAGCTGAACACAGATTGAAGAGCAGGAATTTGTGAAGCAAAAGTGATGACAAGGAGGAAGGTATTATAAGTAAGAGAAAGAATTAAATGAAAACACAGAATTAAGTCCAGCATATATTGCTTGACTTTTTCATATCTGCAAGACAAGAAGTTAGCTATAAATATAAGTAGTCCTATGGTATTTAAATAATTAGAAAACCAGAGGACAGGAAGCAAGATAGGGACACTTATGAAGCAGTTGCTTATGCAAGCTGCTTTGTGTACATTTTCCATGAGACTGTTGCCACAACCTTAGTAATAGGCTCTTCTGGACATAATGTAGAAACCAAAGTCAGATAGGGTAGGTGATTAGCACTGAATTTGTTATATAACAAATAAGGGGGGAAATTGAGGTTCCAATTTTGTTTTATCTAAACAAAAGCTATCTTTTCATGTCACAAATTGGGAGTTGCATAGAGATGGTTGTCTGGCTTACTATCTGTGAGCCTAACTGCAAAGGCATGCATTTAACGGTAGCTCAATTGAGGAAAAATATTCTTAGTACCTATTTTATATTACACATTTCAGAACTTCTGTTTATTTAAGTGGGTTTTGTCTTGGAAGAGTTTGTAATCTAAAAGAAGAAGAAGTCATATCAATATATAGTCAAATACAATAACATGTACTAAAAAGGAAACATGCAAAATGTGCTAATAAAGCATAGGATAGAACAAATTAATCAGGGAAGAATTTCTGGAGATGACCCCAATCTAAATTTTGGTGGGTCCAAAGGGTTTGACCAGTGACGGTCAGTGAGAAACATGTTGGAATATAAGGAAGAGCAGACGTGAAAGCTTGGAGGCATATGTAGCAGGCTACAAGCAGTTAACTGGGAAATGAGGTAGTGAGCCAGACAGTGGAGAGAGCCTTATGGATGACTTCAATTTTGTTGGATCTTAATGAGTGAAGAGTGTCATTCAATATACACGACTTTTACCATTTATATAAAAAGGCCAGGCTTGGGATTCATCTTCTTGAATTGACTATTTTAATCACCATGGATCTATATATAAAACTTCAAAATGGGTGTAACCATTGTCTACTATAGATACAACTGGAGCCCTGTGGTGTGGCTCTCTGTGGGAGTTAGAAAACTTGAAAACACACTGTTTCCAGACTGCTACACTTGAAACCAGAAATTAATGAGTTTGCTTTATTATAAAGTAAGTTGTTCTAATGTACATGGATACAATATAACTCAATCCATTGATTATGTAAAAAAATCAATTGGAACTGACCACAGATCATTTTTATGTTTAATGACATTTGTGTTATTAATGCAATTGTTTACAGACATTATTCGATTCAAATTACTGTGTTTTGTGCAGACAAGGGAATAATAAGCCAAGGTATTAATCTGTAGGAATAATAATAGGCTACCTGCTTAAATAAATAATAGCTGAGGATTTTGGCATTGTTCAAGGATCCATTGAAATACTACAGTCTGGTAGTTCTCTGTAGTAAGTCTCTCAATTTTTTTTTTTTTTTTTTACTTTTTTAATTTTGATGTTTCATTTTTTACTGGACTTAAAAGTTTTTGTTGGACTTGATCCCAATTTCTATTTTGGAAGTTGAGAGAAAGTAAAATATTATGAGGTATGATCTCCTAGACTTGGAAAAATTCTGTTTTCAGAGCTGTCTGTTCATCTAACAGCTGGTGGGTGCCATGAATTGGAGAACTGCCATTTAGTTGTTTTCTATTTATGGCGATGATTTAGTCCATTTGCTGACAAAAATGTAAAGGAGAAGCTAGGAAAACAAAATGAACTTATTCACAAATTATGGAACATTAAAAGATGACAACACACCCAATTTAAAGTGAACTTCCATTTTAGTAAACTTTCCTAAATATTAAATAATTGTATGTGTTAAGCATACACACTGTGACACACTTTTTGAACTAGAATCAAATATTTTTCCAAGACAGTTCATAGTTAGACTTTTCCTTGAATAATTATTCATAATATCTTTTATTTATTTATTTTTTTTTTTATTTTTTGACAGGCAGAGTGGACAGTGAGAGAGAGAGACAGAGAAAAAGGTCTTCCTTTGCCGTTGGTTCACCCTCCAATGGCTGCCGCAGCCGGCGCGCTGCACCCGGCGCATCGCGCTGGTCTGAAGCCAGGAGCCAGGTGCTTTTCCTGGTCTCCCATGGGGTGCAGGGTCCAAGGACTTGGGCCATCCTCCACTGCACTCCCTGGCCACAGCAGAGAGCTGGCCTGGAAGAGGGGCAACCGGGACAGAATCTGGCGCCCTGACCGGGACTAGAACCCTGTGTCTCGGCGCCGCAAGGCGAAGGATTAGCCTATTGAGCCACGGCGCTGGCCATATTCATAATATCTTTTGATCTCATAAGTACCTCAGTTGAGATGATGAGATATGTGATCCCTACATGCATAAAACATAAAGAACCTATGAGGTATAAACACTAAAGTGCATTTGATATGTTAGATGATAATATATTTAGTTCATATGGAAAGCATCTGTTAAGAATATCCAAAAGTACTTTCATTATTATTGAGTGCAGTATTTTAAAACTGTTATTGGTCAGTGTACTTATATAACAGGCATACAAAGCTACTAACCTTTAATTATTAAAAATTAAATTCAGTACATCTCAGTTCCTCAAGAAATAATAGCATTTTTTATTTAAATCCTTTTGATTAACAACTTTGATTAAATGACATAATGAAATCACAAACAGCATTGTATCATGATGCCCCTGATTTGATTGTTATCAATGACCTACTGTACTGTATAGCATGCTGGCCTTTCCCTTCTTTTCCTTCCAAGTGATAAACATGTTAAACTCAAACGCTCATCAGCCACCCTGCACCCTCTGTTCTACATTACTCACGTGCTTTCTGTAGCCTGCAGGCATTTTCAGATGCTGTTCCTCTTCCCAGATCCTTCCTCTTTCCTTGGATGAGCAACCTAATTCTCATTGATGATCCTGTTGTCAGCTAAGAAGACAGTTGCTCTGCAAAGGCATTGTCGCTGTATAGCAGCTGTTCCTTGTAGCCTGCCCGCCCATACAATAGTCCTGATTACTCCACAATGGAATACGCCTGATTTGTCTTTCCCTGATCGTTAAAGAAGAGAAAATCATATATATATTTCCTTAGATTATTACCTTTCCTCCTATCCTACCCATATGCAACATAGAAAGTACTCACTAAACACTTGTAATGATTTTCTAAACTGACAAATATGGGTATCCAAATCTTAAGTCTGTTTATATATTTATGTTAGAAAATATCTGTAATTGATAACTTTTATTTTGAGTCTTTGTCCTGAAAAAAGAAGATACATGAAGTTCCAAAATGAATTCAATCTCTAGATATAAGGATAGAAGGATGTGCCTGTGCTAAGGTATAGTTGAAGCTATTTATAGCTATATCAGAAAAGTATTTATTGTAAAGATTATATACTTTTTGACATTGAAAACAAGTACTAAAGTTGAAGCTACTGAACTTGACTATTAGTACTGACGTGCCAGTTCTGCTGACAAGGTACATTGCTCTAACTGTTTGAGAGTCATAAGAAAACAGCATTTGAAAAATGATTGAGGTCTAGGATAACAACTATTCTAAGTCTCTGTAACCCCTTTGAACTCACATGACTCTCTAATGCCGCAACTCTATCAACTGCAGTTCATTTCACAGGAATCCCATGGAAAAATCCAGATTCAGTGCTTTTAAGGCATGTGGAATTGGTTTCTTTTCAATTTGCTCAATCCTTTAAAATGTTTGTGAGGTGCCAGGCATTTTGCTTCATGTTGCAGAGACAAAAATGTGTAGAAGCTCTACTGCAAAGTAATCACAAATATGAACATATTTCTTTCTGATACCTACCTGCATATCTGTAATCATTATCTGAATAATGCTCCTAGTATTATACCATTGAGTCAAATTAAAAATGTAGCAAACTCTATACTTCCTTTTAAAAATGTCAACCTTTGAACTTTTGATCCTCTCTTTTAAATAATAATGTGGTAATTAGCCACTTAATCCAACTACTCTAGTTCATCTTAGTTCTCTTCCCACATGTTTCCCTCTAGTAGTCACTTATAAAATTCTATCCATATCCTTGTAAAATTTCTCTTGGCTATCTTGCCTACTCTCCACATAGAAAATGTATAATTCTCTCCTTAGCATCTCTCACAGCTTAGCTTCTTTTCCCTGCATTTTATCCATCTTCCCACATTGCCAATAGAGTATTTTAAAAACAATACCAGGAAAATTAGATCGTGCTGCCACATATTACCTTCAAGCCACTTTACAATGTGCTCGTTATGTGAATTTCCAACAAAGGCTTTTTCGGGGTGAAAGAT